ATATAAAAAATGTTGTAAATGTTTTAAACCATTTATCAAATGTTTTGCTTATTTAAAAGACAGGTGTTGCCTCATATGGACATATTTGAATTATGAATCATTCTTCACATATTTTTCTGATCACCAGCCTGACGTACTTCTTATTATTATTCTTGGAAGGATTATGAGCTCTATTAGACTGTGAGTTTGACTAAATTCCGTCCGCAGGCCGCAGCTGGTCCAGGAGGTTTTAACAGCATCATAAAACATTGTTTTCTCGTGGTAATAAAAAATAGAACAACTGAGAGGTTCCAGCCTTATAATGTAATTTTCGCCGGTAGCCGATATATTCTGTTTACATGGTTATAAATGAATCACTGAAATAATTGTGAAATTAGAGTGTAGCAAGACACTGGAGTTGTGGTAGGATGTGTAGGAAGTGTGTACATGAGGCACCTCTAACACATTGCTAAATAAATGGTGAGTCACTCTCTACTTAGGCTTGTAAATATTTATATTCACAGTATTTAATGAAAAAGCACAGCAATGATAGAGGTATTTATATTGTATTTTTTATTTTCTTACCTCTATCCACCATATGCATTTTTGCACGATACTCAGCAGTGACTGTTTAGCTGGTAATGAAAAAAGTTTGCCTGGCTTTTTGTAGCACTCAGCCCCAAACCTACTTGTTCCCACTGAGGAGGTAAAACACTTAAATCTTTAAAAGAGGGTTTTTAAGAATTTCCAGAAACAGCTGTGCCCATGTTTTATAACCAGGAGGAAAAAGTGTATTTGTTTTGGACTATTTCCAGCAGCCGGATAATACACATTTGGTGCTTTAGTGAGTACTCGGGCCGGCAGGACGATACATGTGGGATTGAACTGAACTACACAACAGTAACTGTGTCTGAGGTAATGAAGGATCATGTTGGTCAGTTTGTTTTTGGCAGAATTCGGAAAGAAATGGTCATATAAATATACAGTATACGATATAAGTTAATAAAGAATATGACTGGATCTATCCTCTAAGTAAAGAGGTACGTTTTGCACTTTTTGTTCCAGTATGTATATACAGTGGAATTTTTTCCTACAGACAAACGTACCTGCTGTTCGAAGACCGAGGTGGGCCTGTCCGTCAAGCCCGTAGCCCCCGAGGGCCGCTCCCTCTGGGCTGTAGGGACCACCCTGACCTGTGGGAGGACACACACTCTATCAGACACAAATACACAACAGACGCACACTCCACATTACACAAGCGCAGAATATAAGTAAGTGTATTACGGCAACACTCACCTGAGCGATTTGTCTGGTCGATCATCGGCTGAACTATTCTCCTCCTGGCGTTGATGAACCTTTTCAGGGGAGAGAGACATAAAGAAAGAGTGTTCAGAGAGGGGGAGCGAGAGAGAGAGAGGGGCCACCCGTTAATGGAGAAAAAGGCTGACCGGAGAGACTATTAACCTTTTCTATTTTACAGCCCTTAACCCTTTCAGGGGGCAGCGTAAATCAACGTTAGGGCAGAGCAGGTATTGATCGGCCCTGTGATAATTGATTGATCTGCATTGATTGGATCACCGTGAGTATACGTGTGTGTGTGTGTGTGTGTGTGTGTGTGTGTGTGTGTGTGTGTGTGTGTGTCTACAAACAAATAAAAACATGTGAGTTAGCAGATTACAAAATACACTTTTTAGCATGTAGCACACATATATTTTTAATTTAAGCGAGTTTTAAAACTGAAGTACAAACAACTGAGCATCATGAAATTGATCAGCAGTATGGAGATGCTCTGTGTCTGTGTTTACACTGAATGCATCAGAAGATATATGCCTGAGGAGTGAACGGGGACTCTGGGAGCTGTAAATCATCTGATTATTGGATATTGATTTGCTATTCTCCTTTATGAACATGGAGTAAGTAGATTTTACAGCTCTGCAGCTTCAGGAAAAATGCTTAGAGGGACATTTCTGCCTCTGTTACAACCTTCTCTCTAATAAAGTCGATCACGGTCTCTGTAAAAGTCTTGAAAGCGCCACCTTTCATTTTCAAGAGTTGCTAAGCAAAAAGTGTGACCGTGGTGAGATGTAAAATGTAGATACTGTTCATTTATGCATCAGACTCTCACGCCAATATGCTATTGACGTGGTTACGGCCCTGTTGTCAAATTGAAACTTGACACTTTCCATTTAAACGAGTCAGTTTAACTCTTGATTGATAAGCTGTAAGGTTAGAATTAGTGTATTGATTTTGTGTGCACTGACCAGTTGTTGACCTGTAAGATGGTCAGTCCCGTGTCCTGAGCCAGCTGCTTCTTCTGCTCCTCAGATGGGTATGGGTGCTGGGTGAGGACACACAGAGCAGGGGTTAAGGAAATCAAACACACACCAGGTTTTGGGGCGCAATGTTTGTCGCTGTCTTGCAGAGACGGAACTGAATTCACGTGGAGGCTGAAATCTTGAAAAATAAAAGATTATATATATATGAACCCTGTGTGACCACAGACGAGCTTCCTTCTGAATTCAAATCTACAACGGATTTATCGAGCTCAGCAACTCCTCATGCTCCAATATTTCTCTCTATCACACACACACACACAGTAATAAATGGTGTAAAGCAACATTTGACCTGCCTCATTTAATAGCTAATTATCAATCTAACCACCTCATCAACAATTACTCTCTCCATTTCTATCACTTCCACGATTATTCACTAGCGAGCATATTCACATAATCACTTAATCCCCCGATTTTTCATTTAATCTAATTGACCTCCATTATAACACTCGCTCCACCTCTCTGTCTATTCTTATCACTGATGTTCGCTCTCACACTGAACCATCACTTTATATAATCATTCCCTCATCCACAGCCACACACAAGCTTTCTTTATTTTGCTTCCGCTCAGCAGACTATTGTCCAGAGTCAAAGCTGGCTCACCGACAGGTGCTGGAAGAGCCACGCTCTCATGATGTTTGTGGCCACTTTAGGGAAGATCCCTCTCTTCTTGTTGTTCCTCCGGTCTCTGTCGGACTCATCCTCCTCTCCTGTGCTGGGGGAGCCCAGTCCTCCATCCAGACCATCGCCTGTAGGGACACCAGGTAAACAAGGGTCCAAATGATAAATACTATGTGTAGTAATAATAATAACAATGTTTGCTGCCATTTGATATCAGTGTTCATACATTTATTTTGTTATTGACGACTCATTTACACATTCACACACAAATGTAAAGAACGAACTGTTGTGACGCAGCTGAAATCAAACTGTTAAGTTCAAAGTAGGGCTCATTGCATAACGGGCTGTGTGTGACTGTTGCTGCAGATTTGACAGTTGAGTACATGCACACCTCAGATTCCCGGCCTGTATCTGTGCTGTGCAGTGTTGTCCCTCACACACATCATTTCCAGTTTGTGTGTATGTACCTGTGTCGCTGCAGTTGTCTGCTGTGCTGTGTGAGGGCAGGCCACAGGTGCCTGGTGTTCCCAGAGGAGTAGAGGCACATTCATCTGGCTCCCGAAGCCATGATGCATTCTGCAGGGAGAGAGAGAGAGAGAGAGAGAGAGAGAGAGAGAGAGAGAGAGAGGGGAGGTTGAAAGTGGAGTAATGGAGAGTTGGAGAATTCCCAGCAGGTGGAGAGGAAGAAGAACGACCAACAAGACAAGAAACACAGGGTCATTATTCAGTCATCCAGTGGATGCAGCGCTACAGGTGAGCGGGGGAGTTCTGTATTGACATGCAGTGTCTCACCTGCTCTGACAGACTGGTGCAGGATCCAGTGAAGTCCTCCATGTCAGACTTGGAACCGCCCTCCCGATCATCCAGGACCAGGTCCGTGGGCATTTTGCCCTTCAGACAGGTGATGTAGCGATGGCAGAAGTTGTCGCAGAGGTCGTGCACCTTAGAAGAAAGGTTTGCAAACCATTAACACCACTTTCTAATAAGTAAATGAATAAGTAACAGTAGTGCTGTGTATGTTTTTCAAGTCTGTCTTAAAACATTATTCACTTGCTTATACGTGTATTATTTGCATGTTGACCACAAGGAGAGAATTTATGAACCTATCCTGTTTTTCACTGCTTGACCATATTTTTTCCTAAATTTCCAAATTTAAAGGCATAAAAGGAAAGTGATTTTCCTAAGCCTTCTCATAAGTGGTTTGGCTATCCTTGAATAAATGTGTGGTGTTTGTTCAATTACAGGAAAGACAGCATTGTAGTGCTGTAAGGCTGTGAGTGCTGGAAATCCTGGGTAGCCACATGAAAGACCACAAAGAGGTAGAGTAAACTCATGCTGCTCTTCCACCAACCTTCTCCAACTCCAGTAGATGAAAGCGTAGAACCTGTATGGCCTGGATCATCTGTGTTGAAAATAAAGATGATCAATACATAAACCCCAATGCATGTGTGAAAATGTGTTTTTATTTTAGCGTGACGTTGACGTCATACCAAGTTGTCCAGCTCAGGATTGGACGAAAATATGGGTTTCTCCGAACGAATCTGCAACGCAAAATTCAACCAGTTGTTAGAAATCTGAAAAACAGGCTTTTGCGGGCATCTGATTTGGCTTTCGAAGCTGTCACCCGCCTGCTTAGCGAAGGCAGCGATGTCATCGTTGAAGGATTCCGAGGAACAGACGTCGCTGTGGTTGTTCATGCCCGGGAGGTGGGAGGTGGCGGAGAAGGAGGCAGGGTCTCGAGGGGAGCAAGTGGCCAGCTCACACTTCTCAAACACTAAGGCCAGCAGTGGAAACAGTGGGTGTCTGCACACACACACACACACACACACACACACACACACACACACACAGAGACATACATATAAACAGTTAACATTCAATACTGTACATAAACACAGTAACAGTTGACACAGTGAACACATGATACATTTACAGAAGGTGAAACTCAAGACATTATAAAAAACAGACAGCTGTAAATACTTCACATGTATTTTCATACACAGTGTACAGATATATACCGTATGTAAACCAGCTTAAAGTGCATGTGTAGTTCAAAGTGTGTTTTTGAAACAAACTATCTGTCACACACACACACACACACACACATGCTCACCCATAAATCAGGTCTTTGTGGTGTTTGAGTGAGTCAGGGATGGTGGCTCCGTAATGTGGGGGAGGAAGCGGCCTGACGTCGTCGCCGTACCCCCCCACTGACATGGCCTCCGACCCTGAGTAGTGCACCAGCTCTTCATACTGAAACACAATTAGATAGACGGACAGAAAACATGAGACACGTTCAACATCTGCGCCTGTCTGACATCAAACTGTAGTGATTTTATTACGAGGCTGAGCTGTCGGGGGTGGGGTGGGGTGGGGGGGTGCAGAGGAGCGGCTTACTGGACCAACACTCAGTGACCACATCTGATGTGAGTCTTAACTGCAGCAGATATCCTGAACGGCCATTAGAATGAACTGTTGCATTGTGGTCTGCACAGAGCAGTGTGTAATAACCAGATTGTGAGTTTTTTCTCGATTGAACAATTAATCATTTATCTGAAAATATAAGATAAAATAATGAAAAACATGCATCACGATTACCCAAAAGTTTTTTTATTTTATGACTTAAACATGAAATAAATTGTTGTAGTTTTGTGTTGATCCAGTGCAGATTAATGGACTAATGATGTCAGGTTTTAAGTGTGTGCATGCCTTAGTGTTTGTAATGCAGTGGGAAAACAGTAATTCATCATATACATAATTAATCAGTGGAAGCTAAATAAACACCAATATCAACAAAATAAAGAGTCAGAGAGCCATTAACATTTTTACTGAAAGCTTTCAGTCTAATATATTTCCAATATTATACTGTGGTTACAGTATTCTGATCACAGCGTGTTTGCGTGTGCACATGGACAAATACTGCAAGTTTGTGTACAGTATAATCATCTGGTGTGTGTCAACACGAGAACGATTCTATGAGTTTTCACCGCAGCTGAAGAATCTGCTGAACATTCTACAGCTGTCAGGATAACAAAACTCTGATGAAACTCCTAAAGCGCTCGAATAACTTCGAGAATCAGTGAAGAAGAAAAAAGCAGCTTCTGTTGGTCCTTGTCTGCTTTTGTGTCTGCTGCTTAAAAGCAGATGAGAAGAGATGAGAGACAGAGAGAGACAGAGAGAGATGAGGTCCTTGGAGAAAGACAGTGAGTCTGTAGCTGCTAATATCGTCTCCTCCCATCCTAAACTCAGACGAGACAGGAGCCGTGCTGAGACGTCCCCCGCAACCTGCTGTGAGAGCCTCGCTGGGCCCTGCTCACACACACACACACACACTATAACACAGGATGGATCAGACACACATATGGCACACTCACAGACACGCACAGATACAGAGACATACAGCAGCACGTACGCACAGCATCATTAATATACATGTATCACACACACACACCCCTCTCTCTCTGTGTTATGGAGCTAATTTGTGCCTCGCTGCAGCTTCTGTCTCTGAGGCGACATTGCTCGGGTCAGCAGATCTTGCCTCTGTTCCTCTTTCTACTGGATTAAAAGGAGACGCCCGCCGCCTCAGTCCCTCAGCAGGGCCACCGGGATCACAGACAGACAGCACCTGCTAGGTGGCCCGGCCGCAGACACCTTTCACTCCTGTGTTATTTTAACTGTGCCATAAAAGTTATGATCTGCTTACAGCCTATATATTTCTGTGGACACTGTCGTCCCCCCCCCTCCCGAGCTTGTGATTTACTCCACAAGTGTATGACTGCAGGAGAGAGATTTAATTACATTTGCTCTTTCAGATTTACACTTAAACAATCCTGTTTATTAGTTCCACTTGTTTACTCACCAGGGCTGCAAATAGCAAATTAATTATTTGCACACTATTTTTCTTAATCCAAAAGTGCCCAGTTTAAAATGATTTTTGTTTTTATTTCTAAAGTGCAAACTTGAATTCTAAAAGTCAGACAATAATAAAAGTTAGCGTTCCTACATATTTTCTCTATTTTGACCTCTATACTCCAATACAAGACATTAAACTAGTCCTCTCCATGCTCCTACACACTGCCCTCTCGGAGACCCCTCTGCAGGAACCCTGGAGGTCTCATGGAGCCCACTTTGGGAACCACTGTCCTAAATGGCTTATCAAATTATTGTATATGCCAGAGTCCCATGTTGCCACCATGGGATCACAGAAAGCACCTGCTCTGAGGCCCTGGCCCGGGACACCTTCTAGTTTTATGGAGGCTGGCTATTAACACAATCACCGCTATCGGATTGCGCGTCTCCCTTTACGCACGGCCCCCTATCGTGTTTCTGTGCGTCGAGCAGATCAAAGCGCACAAGTCGAGATGACAAATTCCGCGAATTTTCACTTAATTTTTTCACCCGAAAAAAGTCACGGAGGTGGAGAACAGGCTTCAGATGGTACACAACACCTTCATATGCGGGTTTATATGTTTGATTGAAACAGACGTGTTGACTTCACGTCTACCAAAGAAACTTCGCATGAGCTATAGTCCAGTAATAACCTAATCCTGCTTTGTAGAACTGGATTATTATTTGACTGAAACAATGAATAAAAAGTCAAATAGATAATAAAACAGGGGGACGGGGTAAGTTCCAAAGTGTTGCGTATTATTAAAAGTCTCGATTAATCTTTTTTACACTTTGTCAACATCTATATTATAATAGTTAAAGTCTAAACGTGTTTTTGCTTTTACTACATTTTAAAAATAGTTTTGCAGAAAACAAAGAAAAAGTATTAAATTATTTGTTTTCTCGGTGCGTCGATTTAGTGAGAAGGTGAATTTGTTTGAGGATTGTTTCCATCACGCACGTTGATGGGTTTGCCGCAACTTTCATAGTTTTCTGCGCTTAAATGAACAAGATATTCAAATTAAAGGGACTCGAAGTTTGTATGGGAATTATCCAGCTTTTAACTGATGATGTTTATCTGTTAAACGTTTTCTAAAGTTTAAAAACTTGTCAGGCAGATTTTGTGTTTTAAAGGACATAAAGAAACTAAAAGAAGAAAATAAATCTGAGGATGTTGCAGATTTATGTTGGAGCTGTGGAACACATAACAACTTTTATAAAATGCAGGGGAAATCCTGAGTGTGTTCAACAAACACATTAGACTTCATTGGATTTTAAACAAATTTTGCAAGAAGGAATGGCTGCAATTAGTGATGCAATAGAAAATAAGAGGAGTGTTTTACTGTAAGTTGAATGGAATCAAGCAAAGATAACATGTGTTGGTCTATATCTGGGTGCATGCAGTGATTACAGCCATTAGATTTTGGAGAACTGTTGTCCATGTGTGTCTGTTTTCACAAAGCAGTCATTTTCTGTCCACACGTTGGACATCTCTAATTGCTCTGTGTTGCACTCAGGTCTCAGTCCGCCTGCAGCCCGCCAGCCTCTGCCCTGTCTCTCCACCTCCACCACCACCACCACCATGCCTCTGAATCACTGTAGCAAAAAAACTGACCTACTTACCGAGTTGAAGAGCTGCATCTCCTCTCCTCTGCCTCTTAATGACTGCTCTCTAACCCTGATGTGCCATTATAACGCCTCACTGACACTACACAACAATAAGTCCACATTATTCCGAGGAGAGGGAGAAATATTAGATCCAAATCAACAGCTCCCTGTGGCGTGTTTGCAGAGACTGCTGACATCTAGTTTGCAAGTTCTGCATAACCTCCATTGAACTGCAATTAGGCACAAGCACTGCAAGTTGCTCCTTTGCAGCATCATGAATGCAATTTGAAAACAAACACTTGCTGGTGTATGAAAAACATTTGTGAATAGCTTTTATGTTGGTTTAAATGGGGGTTTCTCTGTGGCTCTGAGGCTTTCTGCTGGCATGCTTTTCTGTTGTTTTTCCCCGAAACATGCAGCCCATGCCAGCACAGTCCACCAGTCTGTTTCCGGGCCTTCTGTTTTGTGTGTGTG